CCAGGCCTCCTCGGGCAGGGAAAGTTAGCCTCACCACAGGTAGGGCGGGTCCGAGTCTGTGCAGGCGTGGCTCAGGGACATGTGTTTACATGGGCCACATGGTCATGGGGCTTAAGTTCCTCCAGGGTGGAGACCTTAGTGTTGAAATGAAACAAAGGAGTTTGCAAGTATGTCTTAAAAAAAAGTATTTATTTAAAAGGCAACATCACACACACACACACACACACACACACACACACACACGGATCTTCTACCCATTGGTTCACTCCCAAAACGGCACTAACAGCTTTGCGTGGGGCCATGCTGAGGCCTGGAACATCTGGAACTGCAGCTTAACCTACTGTGCCTCCCGCCCTTGTATTGTTCATTTCACAGTGAGCATTGATGATCTTTGAAATCAAATGACATTTGAAAAAGGAGAGCTAAACATTTTTTTTCCAGGTTATTTTTTTTCATTATACAGGACAAGGACAGAGGGTTTAAGCATCATTGCCTGCCTCCCAGGGTATGCCTCAGCGGAATGCTAAACCTGAAGCTGGACTAGAACCCAGGCCTGTCCATCTGGGATATGGACATTGCAAGGAAGGCCTAACTTTTGTTTCAAAATAAAGTAAGGAAATGATGGGAGGAAGACTCACACCGGGAGAAGGGAGCATCGAAGCCCAGTCGAGAGGTCATGCATTCAAATCACGTAATGTGCCCTGTGTGGGACCCAGGTAGCAGCCACTGTAGGACAGAAAGGATTTCCTGTCCCCACATTGAATCACAGTTGCAAGTGGCCCAAGGGGGATGCTAGAAGAGGGAGGGGCTTGCTGAGCCTCACTCTCCCTGCTGCCCAGGACAGGAGGCTGGGTCTCCTGGGATTGTCATGAGTCAGGAAGTAACCAGTTGGGTCTGACAAGCCACCACTCCCAGGTCTTTGCCTGGTTTCTTTGTTTCTTTGCTGGGGTCCTGCAGCATGCTGGGGTGATTCCCCTTGGTAATCCCAGGCTGCGGGTCCCACCCAGGGATAGGAGAGAAAACACCTGTAATTTATCCCATTCACAGGCCCAGGGGCTGCCCAGCTCTATCCGACCTGGCACTTGGCATCAGTCCACAAGCAGATCAGCCAGTAGCAGGGGATGGTTGCGGATACCTGCTGTGTGTCAGACATTGCGGAACATCCATCCCAGACAACAGGGGAAGGGCAGAGCTGAAGACACTTGGTGCCAATAACGGCAACTGCCACAAGTCAGAAAACTGTGCTGAATGAGTCTTGAGTCCGGGGTGCCTGGGACTGAACCCACGTTGGCATACCAGGTGCCTTGGGGTCTGTGGTCTGACTGGGCAGCACCGGTGACTTTCAGGATTGGCAGTGAGACTGAAGCACTCTCAGGGACAGTCAGTCCGTTTCTGTTGGAGTTGCTGAGAGTTTGATGCAAGTCTGGTACTTCTGGCAGCCATTTTGTTGTCACAAGGAGGAACCAGCCCACACCATCAGACTAGCAGAAAGAGAAGCAGTCTTGAGAGCTAGAGAGATGCTACTGGACCCTGATGACATCACCTGAGTCTCTCAAGGAACCAGCTGTGTCTAAGGCTGCATCTGGCCCTGTTCTCAGGAGTGATCTGCGGGGGTGCAGGGCCCTTTTTTTAGGTTCTGGCTAATGTAACTTGGGTTTTCTGTCAGATTGAACCCTGGTGCTCTGACCAGGCAACCTCTGTGCCAAGAGGCCTGGGTACTTGGAGGTCATGCCCCTTGACATCCCCCTCAGTCTCTAGGACTCTAGCCTGCACCTGTGGCAGAGTGCACAGTGAGCCCACACTTGCCTGAGAGGGAGCAGAATCCCCTCCCCCAAGAGGATCCCTGCTGCCGAGGGGCTGGGCCTCTACAAGCAAGTGGCTTTCTCTCTCTGAGCATCCATGTTCTCACCTACAGAATGGGACTGGAAATGGGGTGGCAATCACAACCTTTAGCATACAAAATTCTCTGAATCACAAAGACAGCACCAGAAAGTAACAGCCGCAGTGTGTATGTACTGTGTGATGAACACCTGTTTCCATTACAAACTGGCGGTTCCCAGAAAGCTGTTCAGAGGAGGGAGTCTCTGAGGCTGCTGAAGCGATTGCAGGCTGGAGGCAGGACTGGCAGCAAGCTTCCTCGTTGGCTTTTCCTTTGCAGCACAGGACCAGGGGCTGTCTCACCAGGGCAGTGGGTAGTGTGCAGTGTGCAGGCATCCCTTCTGCTGGAGACCTTGGTCCAGGCCAGGTCTGCCACCAGCCCTGAGGCTTCCCCTATTTCTGCCAATGTGCCCCTCTCAGAAGCTTCCTCACCTTGTCCTTGTCACATCCCCAGTACTCAATTCAGTGCTGCTCTGAGAACATTCCAGAACATGCATGTGTGTGTGAATAAAATGTGACCATGTTATCTGACCTCTCATCTTTATTTTTGGAATTTATTTTTGGTGTATATCAGACAAAAGAGCATATAAGCCCCAAGGTCATTGATTTGTGATCTCTCACAAACTGAACACACTGCTGTGACAAAATAACCCAGAAGCTTCCCTAGTGTCTCCAGAAATTCCTTCTCCAGGGCTTGGCGTGGTAGCCTAGTAGCTAGAATTCTTGCCTTGCATGCACCAGGATCCCGGGTAGGTGCTTGTTTGTGTCCTGGTTGTTACACCTCCTGTCTAGGTCCCTGCTTATGGCCTGGGAAGGCAGTAGAGGATGGTCCAAGGCCTTGGGACCGTGCACCTGTGGGGGAGGCCCAGAGGAGGCTCCTGGTTCCTGGCTCTTGGCTTTGAATCGACTCAGTTCCAGCCATTGTGGCACGGACAGAAAATCTTTCTGTCTTTCCTTGTCTCTGTAAATCTGCCTTTCCAATAAAAATAAATAAATCTTTTAAAATTAAAAAAAAAATCCCTCTCCAGAGGTAATTTCAAGTCTGACTGCTTTCCTTTTAGGATTTATTTGTTTATTTGAAAATTAGAATTATAAACAGGGAGACAGAGGCAAACAAAGACAAAGAGAGATTTTTATCGAGATGGTTACAATGGCAGGGGTAGGGCCAGGCCGAAGCCAGGCTCCAGGAGCTTCTTCCAGGTCTCCTGCACGGGTGCAGGGGCCCAAGCACTTGAGCCACCTTCTGCTGCCTAGAGGTCCATGAGCTGGGAGCCAGATGGGAAGTGGAGCAGCCCCAGTTTGAACCTGTGCCCATAAGCATTGCCGATGTTGCAGGTGGCAACTTGCTATCCCACAGTGCTGGCACACAGGCCTGACTTCTAAAGCAAGGCTAGTTTTGCTGAATTTTGAAGCCATGTGGGAGACCTGCAGGGAGTTCCTGGCTCCTGGCTCTGGCTTGGCACAGCCCTGGTTGTGGCAGGCATTTGGGGAGTAAATCAGCAGGTGAAAGGTATTCTCTTTCTCTCTCTCTGCCTATCACATAAGATGAAAATAAAGACATTAAAGAGTTCCAGAGAGGAGAGGAGGATGCCACGGTCACAGTGCCAGCTGACAGACAAGATCACTGGGTTTCAGATCTGACTACCACCCCAGCCACCAGGCTGCAGTTCTCAGGATGGGGCAGCCAAGGGAGAGAGTGGCTCTGGACTTCTGTGGTCCCCTCTTGCGTTTCCCTCAGCACAGAGGAATTGTGGGTGCTGTTGATCACAAGGACTTCCTCTGCCCTCATTCCCACACACAGGCCTGGAGCTCACGGTCGCCTTTGGACCCTGGCTCCAGGTCTAGGCTTTTTTTTTTTTGCTCCCAAGCTACAGGGGCCACTCTGAGCCAGCAGCCGGACAGAGGCACTGCTAGGCACTCCCCCCGAGAGTCTCTTTTTCCAAATCCATTTGTGTCTCTCCCCAGCTTGTGCCTCTCTCTGGGGCAGCTAGCAGGCAGGGACCTTGGACCTTCCTTCCTCTGGTCGCCTTCCAGTGCACATCCTAGTGCCTCCGGCAGGGAGACCTTGGTCCCTCCTGCACCTGTTGGCCTTCCTGCACAGTAGTTTCTCAGCTCTGCACCAACCATCACAAAAGTCACTCAACAAAGTCACACACTGAACACACACACACACTTCAAGGTTTCTCTCTTTCAGGAAAACTGGGTCACAGAGTTGTGCCAAATCACAACGCATCCCCCTTCTGTGTGCACGAGAGACACACAGCTTCTCTGCTCTACAGCAACTTGTGTGCACACAACACACACAGAGGACAGACTCAGAGGCACACACCACACAAATCCTCCTGGCACACACAGCTTTCTCTCACTTCCTCCTTCACTGATACTCACACAGGTCCGGGGGGAAGGGGCAGAGGGAAGACAGCCTCTCTCCTGCTCAGGTACAGGTTCAAGGCCTAAGCCACCACCTCCCAGTTCTGCCTCCCTCCTGCCCTCTTCCATACTCTCCTCATGTGTGGGACACAGAGCACCCAAATACAGTCAGCATCCACACGTTGATTCTGCCACCCTTTTCTGTGTCCTGTGGCCCCCCACTTGACACACACGCAGACTAAACACACACATACATGCCTGCCTAGAACAGACACAATCATCTCATAAGCAACCAGCCACCCACAAATACACACATAAGCGCACACGCAGTGCTCGCACACAGCACACTAACGCTTGCAGCTGCACCGCCCCTTCAGACTCTGGTGCAGGCGCCTGGCAGGAGACAAAGGTCGCCTAGGACCGAGTGCCAGCACCGGACACAGCAGAACCTTCCCTCGGCTCCGCTGGCCCCCTAAAGCCGATCTCCGCGTGGCCGGGACCTAGCATCTCAAATCCGCCCGCCCTCCCTGGGGTCTCCGCGCAGCCCGGACCGAGAGCGCCCGGCGCGCCAAGGGTTAAAACAACCCGCGGGGCGGGATTGGCTGCGCCGCCCCGGCCCACGCCCCCGCGCCCCGTGATTGGCCCGCTGCGGGCCCCGCCCCCCAGGCAGGGCCCCCTGAGCCTCGCGCCCGCCGGCCCGTGAGGAGCCGAGCGCGCCGCCGGGGCCGCAGCCGCGCCGTCGGAGCAGCGCGCTGGGAGCGGGAACCCGAGCCGGAGCCGCCCGTGCCATCCGCCGGCTGGAGCCGGGCCGGGGCGGGACGAGCTATGGTGAGTCCCTCTCAGCCTCCGGGTCGTGCGAGCGGCGCCGCGGGTGGCACCCGGGGCGGCTCGGGCAGCTGGGGGGCTGGGCGCCGGCTCTCGGCTGGCAGGCGCGAGTCGGAGGGCGCCCGTCTGGGCTCGGCGCCCCGGCCACGCTGCCCTCGGGTCCGCGAGGGGGCGGCTGGTCGGGGCCGGCTGTGGAGGGCTCGGGGTGGCCACTTCGGCCTGGGGACAGTCGGGTGTGCTCTGCCTTGGGGTATCCGGAAGTCCCCGGACCCGGCCTGGCGTGGACTCCCTGGGCAGCCCGGTTGGGTTGCATTCTCCAGGACGTCTGGATGCACTAGAACCTGAGCGCCCCTGGACGCTGAGCTGAGGTCGGTCCGAGAGGCTGAGAAAGGGGCGTTGTGGATGGCCGGGAGTGCTCAGGGGAGGCTCTGAGGCACCGCTGTTCCCCGTCAGAGCTCAGGGGACACTTGGGGGCCCTACGCCCAGAGAGCCCAGCTGCCCAGCATCTCTCAGGAGTGAGTCCTCAGGCTGGGATGGGCAGAGATGTACCAGGGAGAAGGGGGAGTTGGAGAGGGGAGGATTGCAAGATCTGTATAAGCCCCAGATAGCTTGATCCAGGCTGGGCTGTTTGGGGACCCAGGTCTCGGGTGCCTCCAGACCCTGCACTCACCGGCCTATTCCTGGGTGGAGGCAGCTCCTTCTTTCCCCAAGGACAACGCTCCTGCCACTCAAAGTTGTTCTTTCTGTTAGTCCTGTGCGGTGTCCTGTGAAATGGGTAGAGGCCATCAGGTGGACCTGAGGAGGGCCTGTGTCAGTGCCTGCTTGGGGACAGGGTGGGACTTCTTGGAGAGCTGACGAAAGTCCCCAGGGACTCCCTAGCAAACCCCTGCATGCTGTTGCATGGGGCAGGAGTCCCTTGCAACTTCCCTTTCTAGTACCTGCACCCCTCCCAAGCCCCACCCTTTTAAACAATCTGAAGGGCCAGATCTCACTTCCCACATACCAGCAACAAACAGGGCTGGGCCAAGCCAAAGCTAAAAAGCCAGCAGCTCTGTGCTGCTCTGCCGTGTGGGTGGCCCTGGCTCCAGGACTTGGGCCATCTTCTTCTGCCTTTCCAGTTCCATTAACTAGGAGCTGGGTTGGAAGTGCAACAACTGGGACTTGAACCGCCGCTCTGAAATGACATTCCAGCATCACCAATAGCAGCTTAATTTGCTGGGCCGCAATGACAACTCTTGCTTTGCTAGTTATCTTCCACCCTTGGACCCTTCACTGGCCCCTCTGGAGTCAGATGTAATGGGATTACAGCTTAATCCTGCATCCGAGGATGCTTGAGACTGTTTGGGATGGGACCTGCCTCCTGGGTGACGCTCACCCTGGCATGCTTTGCTCAGATTTCTGGGTGGCAAGCCACCGCATGCTACCTGTTGTCCAGCGGCAAGCTTTGTGATTATGTCATCCACTGTCTCAGCCCAGCCTGGTCCATGTCCCTCAGAGAGAACGTTTTCTTTCTCACCTTGGGCGGCAATTTTCAGAGCTTACCAGCCCGAGAAGCCCCTCAGCCCACTGGGAGGACCTTTGGCATCAGACCAACTAGGTTGGCATGGCAGCTGTTCCCTTTGGTCGAGGGGCCCTGTCTCCCTGAGCTCGTTTTTGGCCTCGGTGAGGTCTCCACACCCCTGCCCCAGGGACGGTGAGCCGACTCCTGGGGTGCCTCAGAGAGCCTGCCTGTGCTGCTGAGAACAGTTGCTGCCATTCTTTTGCAACCTTGAGCTCAAGGTGGGAAGGTCTTCTTGATGCCTGACCCGTTTGCTAGTCTGGGATTAAAGGTGGTCATTGTTGTAGGGGAAGCAGGAGGTTTGCCGAGCACTTGCCACGTGACAAGCCTCAGGTGAGGGAGAGAGACAGAAGCACTGTGTGAAGGGGGCTTGCTGTGGTTCATGGTGTCCACTCTGGTCCTTGGGTGGGGTGGCCCGTCCTCAGGAGAGGCAGGGCTGTCCCACCACACAGGAGCACCCTCCTAGCTGCAGAGATGAGAAGTAGCTTCACAGAGCAGATGGCGTCTGAGCCAGATAAAAAGGTCCAATGGGGAAGGACCCAAGTGACAGAGGACCAGAGGCTTGAGGACACAGAAAGTGCCCTGTGGAAGACCACAGTGAGGCTGGCCTGTCGCCGGGGCAGGAGGAGAGCAGGGCAGAGGAGAGCAAGTGCCTTGGCAGGGCCAAGAGCACAGGCGTGAGGCGGCTGGGTTGCTGTCCACTGTCCCTGCTGACGCACAGTGTGGGCGGGGTGGGGGCTGCCGTCAGGCCTCCCTGGTCCCTCTCATTTTTGTTTCCCCTAAACACTGGTCTCCGGATGATCATCCTGAGGTGGGGTGATCTGGGACCGCCAGCGTTGCTCTGCTGGATCTCATGCCTCGTAAGCTCCTCTTCCGGTGTGGCCAAGCTCCCTCTCCCAAAGCTCCCAAAGGGGGCTCCTTTGAAGAGAGTGGGCTGCTTCCTGTTGTCCTGCAGAGTCTCCCTGCTGGACCCTGGCTCCCCCGCTCAGGTCTCTCCCCCTCTGGCTGGGCCTCAGTGGCCCAGATGTCCCTGTTTCACGTGTCCTGCTTTGGCTTGTCCTCACGCCACCCAACAACACAGAGCAGGAGGAGTGTTACAAAGCCAGAGCCTGAACCAGCCCCCAGCTGACTGGCTAGCTGAGGAGTAAGCCAGGCACCCAAGTCAGGGTGGTCTGCAGTGCTGGTGCCTCGAGAATGTTCCGGCACATTCCAGGCTGGGGGCTGAGTTTAGGCTGGGAGGTGGGGGCTGGGAATGCCTTTTATTGTGCAGCCTTGGAATCCTGTGTGACCTTGGGTCAGCCATCTATACCGTACTTTGCCTGCTCCCCAGGATAGCAGAGAGTCTAGAGGGTGTGGAAACATGCAGAGACTGCTGAGAAAGTGAGCGAGGTGTTCTTATTTTGGGATGGGACATAGCCAAGCAGCCGCACCTCCCTGCTGCTCCACGGCCTTGCCAGAACCTGCACCCTGCACTTTCTCTTTTTTTTGCAAGATTTATTTTTTTTTTAAATTGGAAATTCAGATATACAGGGAGGAGGAGAGAGAGAAAGGAGGATCTTCCGTCCAATGACTCACTCGCCAAGCAGCTGTAATGGCTGGAGCTGCACTAATCCGAAGCTAGGAGTCAGGAGCCTCTTCTGAGTCTCCCACGTGGGTGCATGGTCCCAAGACTTTGGGCCATCCTCGAGTGCTTTCCCAGGCCACAAGCAGGGAGCTGGATGGGAAGTGGGCCTTCTAGGATTAGAACTGGTGCCCATATGGGATCGCAGCGTGTACAAGTCAAGGACTTTAGCTGCTAGGCTACTGCACTGGGCCCGACTTGCACTTTCTGTGCTGGTAACTGAGTTACTTATGTTTCCTTGAGTTGCTAGAGGGTTTTTTGTTTTTTTTTTTTTGCAAATTAAGGTGTTGTTATTTTGTTTTTATTTATTTGTTAAAGAATGAATGCATTGCTTCCCAGACAGAAATTGTAGAGACCAGGCACTGTGAGAGAAACAAGGTTTTACTTGGGCCATTACCTACTCTCCTGCAGTGTACATTTTGGTGTCTATGGTGAAGCAAGAACCATCAGCAGATATTTACAATATTCTGTTCTTTTCAGTTCTCTGTTTATAAATGATTAAGAGGGTCTTAATTTAATTTTATTTTTTAAATAAATTTGAGAGGCTTGGTTCTTGCAGAGATTTCCCCCAAATGCCAGTAGCAGCCCGTGCTGCGCCAGACTGAAGCCAGGAGTTACTGACTCCACCTGGAGTTCCCGTGTGGGTGGCAGGGGCCCTGGGGCTTGGACCATCCCCTGCTGCCTCGCAGTCACCTTAGCAGGCAGCTGGACTGTGCAGAGTAGCTGGGATTTGAGCTCTGATAATAGCAGGTGGTGTCTCAAGTGCCTGCTTAACCCCTTCTACACAGTATGTGCCCCACCTGTTTTCTTTTTAGTTGACTAAGGGAGCACCCTGCCATGGTTACAGTGCTTCATTCATTCATTTGTTCATTCACCAAGCAGTCTACGCAGCAGAGCGTGAGCAATGAGAACCAGACTCACAGGCCTCCCTCCCGCAGCCTGATGGCCAGCAGATGCAGAGCAGAAAATTACAAGTATCATCACTGTTGCCTGGGAGACAGGGAGGCCACGGGAGCAGAGGGGAGCCCGGCTTGGGGATTGGAAGAGGTCCCCTGAGGACACGCCATCAAGCTGTGGCCTCAACATGCTGAGGTGGGCCCCTGCAGGTTACGGGTTGGGCTGGTCTGGACAGCAGGGGAAGGTGCTGGGGCACTTGGAAAGGGTTGTGTGAAGGGCCCTTCATCCTAAGGGCCAGGAGCTGGGTGGGAGCAAGGGCCGTGACGTGGTCAGGTTTGCCTTTTGAAATGTTGTAGGTTGTTTGGGAAGAAAGGGCAGGAGGAGAGAAACTGCAGCAGGGCACCAGTTAGAGGCATCACTGTAGGATCCGACAGACAAGGAATGAGCAGTGACAGGTAGCAGCCTCGGTTGCCATACCTGGCCGGGGACGTGTTTCAGGAGGGCTTCTGCAAGAGTTGGTGATACCTGGGGGAGGAACACATCCGAGGAACAGCTCCTTGGTCCTTGCGGTTATAATGGGGGTTGCACCACAAAGCTGAATGCTCAGACAGCACCAGCCACACCAGGGTGATGCGGTGGCCAGCACTCGGTTCCTGCCCTTTCCCTGAGCTGGAGGGACAATGGCATCTAGGCTGTCCATGGGCTGTCTCATCCCACTGGTGAGTTTAAGGATTGCTGCCACCTCCACACAGGTTCCCAGGGTTTCTGAAGGAGGTTTAAACAGAGGAACACATTTTTGGAACACATTAGGCAATGTGAGGGTGTGAGAGGGAGCTGAGCCTGACTGCTGGACCCCACAGTCTCCACAGAGGCCTTGTGTTAAAGGGACCCCCAGCCGCTGCCTTGGTCCGGGTTGGCTGAGGGACC